ACCTAGGGCTATTCTTTGGTGAAAGAACCAACCATTTCCAAAATAAAGATCTAGCACTGAGTATATTCAGACCACACAACTTAAAGTAGAGAAGCAACAGGTTCACTGAATCTTCCTCTACCTTGCGGTTCTCCAGAGGAAACAATTGCAAACAGACACAAAGAGGAATTCAGTTTGCCCAAATAAAAGATAGACAACTGTCAACATTTGTTCTCAGACTCACTCATATCTTGTTTATTCATGGCACAAGAAAGCAGAACATAGTCTACTCAGATAATAAAAAAATGTAGATCTACAAAACAAATTAGCATGCATTTGAACAATTTCCAAACTCTGTTCTTCTGTGCTATTAGGTTTTGTCAATAATCACAGACAGCTCTCCACACTTCAATCACACAAGTTCGTCTTTGGAGATGCTTTATCTTGTCCTGAGGCTAGACAGCAAAGAATCAAACCTGTTGAGACACCCACAGCCATTCTTCTTGTGTCTCTAAGGAAGCAAATGGAGTTAAATCTCAACTCCTTAAATGCCCTGCTAAGGGCACATCTGAAAAATTACCATCTTAATGGAGATGTGTGAAGGAAAATGGAAGTATCAAGTGTTTCTTTGGTGGCAACTTATTGTTAATTTTGAAACAGCCCATTCAAGTTCACCTGTTCCACAGTTCGCCATTTTCCTTCTGTCCTCCCACACAGGCTTTAATAAAGCATATCATTAGCAGGTCTTAATTACGGGCACATCTAGAGAAATCAACGCAGCTACGTGGATCCCTGCTGAGATTATGATCAGTGCTGGAAACTTTCAGGGTCTCCAAGGAGAAAAGCACAGTCCTGTTCAGTTTTGCAAGCCCGAGCTCAGGTGGCATCACAGAGGGGTGCGTGCTGCCTGCCGCGGCTGTGGCGTGCTGGGGCCATGGCAGATGGGCCACCAGATTTGTTTGTTCCCACTGTGCATATTGTGTGCTGTACTCTGGCACAGCTTGTCTCTGGACAGCCTGGAGGGAGGTTGTCTGCTTGCCTTGTGCTGGCTCTGCTGGGGCATGCCAGAGGACAAGAGACAACACCTTTTTGGGCTGAGTGTTTCAGAGAAAAGCCTCTGGAGTCATGCAGTGAGAAGCAGCAGGAGGTTTCTCTGCAGGATGAGGCGCAAACCTGCAGTGTGGGTAGAGAAAAAGACTCCTGAGACCATGGTTTCACAGTCATTTTTTATTAGAAAAGTACAATAATTTAGGCTGGAAGGCACTGCTGGAGGTCAGCAATCTCACCACCCGCTCACAGTAGCAACAGCCTAGAATCTAGCTCAGGTTGCTCAGGGCCATGTCCAGACAGGTTTTAGATGCCTCCAAGGACAACACTTCCACAGCCTCACAGAATGACCTTCCCTTGTGTTTCACCTCCCTGTAAACATTACTTTCCTTATATCTCATTTGCATTTACCTTGCTGTGTCTTGAGTCCCCCGCCTTGCACACTACCACTGCAAGGCACCTCTGGCTCCACCTTCTCCCTGGTGTAGCCCATTACATAGGGGATGACATCAGGCACAGCTTTCACCTTCTCTTCTCCAGGCTGAAAAAGCTCAGGTCTCCCAGCTTCTCCTGGGGTCCAGCCCACTGACCATTCTGGAGAGATGGCAGGGATGCAGGACTGTCAGACATTTTGGGCAGCAGCATCCTGCACTTCAGTCAGGTTAAAGCAATTGTGAAACCACAGCCTGAGAAAGGGAGGAAGTGGAATCAAAGCCAAATTTTGGACGTGATGGAAAGTAAAAGTCTCAATTGGACACAGAGGGTCTTTACTGCATTGCAGAAAGACACTGATGCTAGAGTGAAAGCAAGGGCAGGGACTCGCTGTGGTGGCTCAGGGAACAGTGCTATGTTCCCTTACAGGGGCTGGAATTAGTGGAATGTGTGAGACAATCCCCCTTGGAGTGAGCCCGGATCTACAGTATGAGGCTGGCAGGGGGCAAGACCAGCTTACAGCATGAAATTGAGGAAAAAGCAACTTAAAGGTGAAGGTCTACCTTATCTTCACTTGGAAGTACCAGAGCAGACATGACACAGTTGTACCTGATCTGTATTGGCGCTGTGGGTGACTTGTTCCATCAGGTCACTGCTGAACTGTTCATGTAACCACAAGTGCGTTTCCCCTTGAACCACAGCAGGAAACAGCTCCACAAATTAAACACAGCCTGGCAGTGGAGAGAAAGATGAAGCCCTCACCAGCTCCATGCTGACATTTAGTCTCAGCACTATTGTGGGAGGGACTTGTGTGCTCTCTGTACTCCAGAGGGCACCATCAGAACAACAACTCCTCGTGTTCTAAAATGGCCTTTAGGGTAATTGGTTAAATATTTAAAAGATGAAAGTGTTTCCCTGCCAGAGAAGCAAGCATACTGTTATTCTAATTTGAATAATTATTTTTTTGGACCATGAACAGTCTGTTTCCAAGGGTATTCATGCTGGATAGCTCTTGTTAATGTTACCAGCTTACTGAATATGAAACAGCATTATTAAGATTTTGCAATAATAATAATAATAATTTTTAAACTCCCAGAGTAACTCAGGGATCAAAGTAATAAGGCACATAATGTTCCAGACCAAGAGAAGCAAATGGAAGGATTCCTAACAGCAATGTAACTAATGTGATATCTTTCCAAATATCAGAGAAGTGCCTACATAAGGCCACTGCCTGCACAAAAAGAGAGCTGCAAGCTCATACGCAACATATTCTGCTATTAAATATTGAAACAGAGACTCTGCAAATTTCAGGATAATTTACATGACTGGATAAAACCATTGTATATATGAGAGAAAAAAAATTGGGTATCCCATTGTATGTGACATTGGAGATTGATATGGATTAGATTTTATTTCATCCATTTTCCCTCTTGTACTCCTATAGAAACATCAGCAGGTAAAAGGGCACTTTCAATTGCAAGACTAAACTGCTCTTAAATGACATCGTGTTACATCAACTTTTCTCAGTAACTTTATTCATAGCTGCACTTTTTTTCATTATGCTATTTGTCTCTTGGTGCACATATTCATCTTCAGTCTGCACATGTTCTAGCTAAGGTTCTGCAACTTCAGAAGTTGTCTTCATTTGTTACTTTAAACAAAAAAAGGCTGCAGGTACCCAGCTGCTGTTTTACCAGCTGGTAAACAATTGAAACACATTTTCTAGCAGCCTGGATCAAAACCCATATACTGAACTGCTCTGCTTACCTTTGAATGGAAGAAAGGCCTGCAGAGGAGAAAGAAAGGAGAAGCCAGGAAAACTAGGATTTGCAGCAGCTCCAACAGCCCTGCATGCATGGAACCTCCATGCTGCGTCTACCGGTAGTCTCACATGTGCAAGGATACATGTTGAAAAATGGGGAAATAAATGCTTCTGTTTGCTCCTAATCCCTGAGCAATGTCCTAGCGTAAAAGCCCACCAAAAAGTTATCCTGTTATTGTAAAGCTTTTCTTTCTGAAAGATTCTTCCCTTAAAGTACACTACAAGAAAAGGTATTTTCTCTACAAAAAGACACTGAGGTGCTGTAGCACATCCACAGAAGAGCAATGAAGCTGGAGAGAGATCTAGAGCACATGTCTTATGAGGAACTGCTGAGGGAACTGAAGTTGTTTAAATGGGAGAAAAGGTTGTAGTGAGGTGGTTGCTGGTGTCTTCTCCCAATTAACAAATTGGCCTTGAGTTGTACCAGGGAGGTTTAAGTGGGATATTAGGAAAAATTTCTTAATGGAAGGGGTTGTCAAGCATCGAAACAGGCTGCCCAGGGAACTGGTGGAAACACCATCACTGGAGGTATTTAAAGATCTGTAGATATGGTGCTTAAGGACATATTTTTAGTGTGGACTTGCAGTGTTAGCTTTGGAGTTAGACTTGATAACCTTAAGTGTCTTTTCCAACCTAAAAGATTCTATGATTATATGAGTATAGCACTTTCTCTACCTCCCAAGGGACTGCTCCTCCTCCTGGGTGGAAGGTGATCAGCTGGACACTGACCTAGGAGTTTTTTCACATCCCACAGTTATATCCACATTGGCACAGGTCCTGTGGTTGACCCTCCATGGATGCTACAGTAGTACAGCCTCCTGCATGGAGTTTGGTTTAAAGGCAAGAACAGGTAAGATGTGAGTGACCTGGCCATATGGGTCTACCTCTGTGTGAATGCATGCTCTGGTGTATCAGCCTGACACTTCCCTGCCTACATTGTGGCAGAGCCTGCACCTTGTGCCAGTACAGATTCGTAGACCACGGGACAACAGTGTCCCCGTCAGTCCATTGCTGGATAAGGTACCAGGTGACACCAATCCAGCTGGGGTGTGCTGACTGCCGCCGGCTCCTGAGTGTTCATCTCTGCCGTCACATTGTCATCACTATAGCAACCTTCAACCACAACAAACATCAGCACTACTGCTTTAATTTTAAGGTCAAAATTAAAATAAGGGCCCAGAAATTGACCCTTACTAATGGCAATGCAGAGAATTAAAAAATATTATATGATTTAAAACAAGTATGCCAAATAAAAGCTATTAAAAACTGGTGTAAAGGAAGTAAAATATCTCTGTGCAAAATACTGAGATAAGATCTGGCTACAGCATTCATCCAGCTGTATTTTCCTTAGGCTCTTGTCTAGCATCTGTATGTGTTTAATTTTACTTATTTCAGTACTTCTACTGTAGAAATTCATGCAGTTTACAAAAGGTAATGATGCATGCGAAGAGTTTGTTAGAGTGACGGGCTGGATTCCCAGCAGGAGGAACTACAGAAATGCCTGAGGACTCATGATTTTTGTAAGGAAAGGCAGGGTTTGGCCATGCATATACAGCAAAAATCAGGTACCTCCCCCCAAAAATTGTCTTCACTGTTTACTCTGCACCATTCCTAAAGTAATAACACTTGTCTGCCCTGGTTAATGTTTTCTAGGGGACTCTTTGCTTTCATAATGCTATTTAACAGTACAAATAAGAGAGGCAGCTGCAGGGTAGTCCTAGTGAAGACAGCAGGATCCTTGGAAGCTTCTGTAAGTAGGGATTTTTCTGTTTCCTATAAAGATTTCAAAAGTATCATCTTCCTGCATGCAATTGATTTTAAGTCTTTCCCAGAGTTGTGTCTTACCTTGAAATATGTCTTAGCAATTGTTCGGTGATCAAGAGGCTTTTACTGGGTCAGCTGCACATAAAGGACATAGGCATCTCAATTTAGGAATGGAGTTGCCTGCACATTCCCAGGTGGCAGGCAGGAGGAATAAGAATCTAAAAGCTAGAGTAGACTATTTGCCTTGCAGGGAAGCAAGGTGGTCTTTGAAGCCAGCAAATTCTAAGCACCTAAAAGTGAGTCTTTCGCAGGTGTACCTCCTGCTAGAGGAAATAGGCTCTGCTCCATGAAAAGCCTGAAGATGGGTGCTTAGAGGTTTGGTTTATTTTTATCAGTCACCGAGTGATTCTTTTAAGTAATTCTGCTGAATTTTATATTCAGAATCTACAAGAAATATCCTTGCTTAGGGAGTGGGATATCTAAGGTCTGCTTCCCTTTTACATGAGACATCTTATTGCTCTAACCATCAGATTACAGGATCATTGAGAGGGAAGGAGAGAAAATGGTGTTCACCACATGCTCAGGGGAGCTAAGCTCACAGTGAGGCCAAAATGTCCATGGAGCCAGAGACTAGGCAGGGATCAAGTGCTCACGGGAAAGTAGAAACTGGGAACCCGGTCTGATCTGTTCTGGGACTGCTGCTGCTTTGCAGAGAGAAGAAAATCTCCTCTGTCCCACCTGCCTGCCCTAACCACTGCACTGGTTCTTTTTTGTCTTCTTTTTGATCCTTTGGCCTCAGCGATGTTTCGTCCCTGGGTATGCACAGTAACTGAGGTTCAACAGCAAATACTGATGGTGGCCTGGTAAAAAAGTGAAAGCTCATGTTCACCTGTTTCCAGGCAAAGGAGGCCTGGAAGTAAGTGATGCCACTCTTGGAGGGTACACTTTCTGGGTGAGCTCTCCAATGCTAAGGTGTCTTACAGAAGACAGATGACACCAGGAACTGTGAACAATCACAGGCGTTTCTAGAGGATAGTGTAAACTTGGCTACCATGTTTCTGCTGCAAAAGGAATTACTTCTAATGAAGTAGTCACAGTGGTTGGATTCTCTGCAGAATCCAATACCCTTGGCTTGTGCTTGCAATCTTCTTAGCGGCCTCATGCACAGAGGCATCGAACCTGAATCAGAAGAGAAGATAATGTCTAGCTGATCAGCCTGGAAAACCCCCTGAGTGTGTCTAGCTGCATACCATGAGGTACACACAGACCTTCCTGGCCAGCCAGGCAAGCACATGTGAGTTTGTGGTGCTCCTGTGAGCAGGCAGCCCTGAACAGAAGGCTTCTCAGGTTATTTTCTCACACACAGATGTGACTATTCATGTCTGTCTTTTGTGACTTTTTTTGTGTGCTTTGGTAATTTTTGTTTTTTATATGGCCTTGAGTAGCTGAGATTAGTTCATCAGACACCACTGGGGGGGGGGGCATGGCTTGATGTGCCTGGTAACAGCACAGCTTTCAGGAAACAGGTTGCTCAGATTTCTGCATTTAGAAGCAATTAGGAGGGAAGCAGCACCATCTGGTGAGCAAACAGCTTGGCTATTTTGTTCCTGCATATGTTTTTGAGCAGTTCAAACTTTCGTGTTGTCTGAGATGAGATTATTGGTGAGGAACCCTTATGGGAGTAGCATGGGATGAATATTCATCTCTTGGACTCTAAAGGCAGAAAATTGTCTTCAGAACTGTCTCTCCAGATCATAAAGATAAAAATCATCCCTAAAGTGGACAAATTAGCTATATCCACAAAGTTCTGTCAGTTAGAAAATTTAGTCCAGCTCACTGTCAGGTCTTCTTGTGGAATTATTCTAGGGTAACTTCAGATAATCCCAGTTTTCTCCATTTTTCTTTCTAGGATATACTGTCCAAAATAAGTACTGCCATTCTTGGTTGCACAGTAGGGAAGATGGATAGGGAAGCAGTAATATATTCAACACATGTCACCACCAAGTCTATTACAGAAAAAATGCTTAAAGGAACACTGTCCGCCAGGTGCTGGCATGCTCTTGTGCCATTGTCTGACTTGAATGGAAGACCTTCACGAAAGCAATCTTTTCTTGAATACCACAAATATATTGTCATTGCATAGCATAGACAAAGAGAAGAAAAGAGACAGAGGGTTAAACAGGTTTCCTTCCAGGCTGTTCAACAAGTCAGCGTAGTAGATTTGGAATTAGAATTGAAGAACTTTCCACTTCTACTCTCATGTTTATGGACAAACATAGGAAGCTTCCTGCAAAATTAGCCCCTTCAGATAGGGATTTTCCTAGTGACATTTTAGCACAGATTCTCAGTTCTTCGCTTTTTAATCAGTTGCTTGGTATCTGCCTGGTAGGAAAATCCCTCAATCATTAAGATCATATGACAATCTGCATCTTCTGCTTCATATTCAATATGAAGGTCTTTGTTGTCAATTTATCACTGGCTGATCACTTACTAACCTATAATATCAAATGGAATAATAAGTAACAAGTATGAAGTAACATTCCCAAATCATATTCTAGAGGCTTACAGGATGCAAATTCTAACTGCACAAAGTAACTTTATATTCCAAGGGGCCTAAGAGAATGGGCCACTTGTATCTTCACAGCTTAACAAAAAAGACATCTACAAACTGCAGCTGCTGAGTCTTTTATAAACTTATGATTTTAAACTCAACCATTATCAAGGTTTTTGTGAGGGCTGACTCTTGAGTCTTGTTTGTTTGTGATTGGCCAGTATTGAGTAACAGATGGATGATTCAGATTCAGATTGTATTTAATTATCTGTGAATTCAGAGCTGTAATAAAATGATATTAGTTCTATGGAAGTACATAAATTAACCACAGAATTCAAACATGTCATAACTACATAGAACAGAAATATCAGGATAGGAAAAAATACCTTCCAAAAACTGTAACCAATATTTTACAGAACCCTTACACCAAAATCATGCTATATTCATCAGCCATAATTCTGAGGCCAGGCCAGTCAAATTCCATATCTACTTTGCATTCCAAAGAAATAGAAATTGACAGTTCAATACATATATTATAAAGTCCATCTAGCTCCTGTGTTTTATAATAAATATTAAATATGATTAGACAGGGAACAGGTGGTGACTTACATTTAAAATGAAAGTTTTCATTCTTTGGCATTCATGTTATTCTTAATAAATTATGACTACAGCTGAGTAAATAGTTCAGAGTGAATAATTTATCCAAAGGCAGCTTCTGAATCAGCCTGCTGGATATGTGGAAATAGAATAGGCTTAGTTCTGATGCCTTTGTATCAGAGTTGATTTTTTTTCAAGGTCTGACTAACATATTGGCTCACTGATAGTGGTTTTAAGTATTCAGAACTGGAGCTCTTATGTTGATTTACAAGTAGCTAGGTGTATTGAGAAGTATCATTTCAATGTCAAAATCAGAGGGGGCCAAACTAGAATTTAAATTACTATGCAGAGTAATTGAAAATGCAGTTATTAGAGAACCCTTCTGGTCTTCTATTTGTCAGCAACACAGTAGGTCTTATTGCAAATAGGCCTGCTTTTTAGAAATATTTGTATCAAACACATAAATGTTTGAATATTTGATTATAGTTAGGAAATGTTTTGTTGTTCTTATGCAGGTCTAACTGCAACTGGATATACAACTAATACAAATTGCTCCCTCTGATGTTATGGAGAAAGCAGGATCATAAGCATAGCACTTTCTGACGACAGTCTCTCCATGCCAGAGCAGAAAGGTGCAAGTGGTTTAATACATCTCTCCTCGCACAAGTTTTAACAAATGTGGCTCATTATCTCCCCAAATCTTTTGCAATTCTCCCACTGCTTTTATGCCCTAGAATCCTCCTCAGAAATGAGGCCCACTGAGACATTCATATCCACATTTCCAATGTCCCTTTGTCAGAGTTCTGCAGTGTAGAGCAGCAGCTCATCAAAAGAACGGAGCTACCACAGCCAAGTGTAACAGGCTGATAAATCTATTGCCCTTTGACCAGTAATACATCTGATAAAAATACAGCCTTAGTTTTGTTAATGACATTGACTTCTTCTGCTGTGCTGAAAACAAACCTATTTCAATAGTTTGGTTTGTCTGTTAAAAGACAACACATTACTTCAGGTTCTTATTTAAAAAATTACATCATTTTTATTCAGAAACAAAGAGAAACTGTTCCTTAGAGACACAGGGCTTTATACTTGGTTTACTACTAAAAAACCAGCCACTGCCATTTGTCCTTTCTGGAAATAGGTGCCTTATCAATCTGACCAAAAGTTTATTTAAAGATGTCCTTCATGCCTGTTTGCTCCCATTGTTTTTGTATGAAGCTACTGATCGCTGCCAACTTGCATGAATTTCCTCTTTCTCCCTTTACTCTCAAAACATCCAGATTTCTTCTACGATGAGCTTCCCAGGAATTATCTTAGACCATTAGAGTCAAAAGCACGGTGGTGTTGAGCCCTCCAGTGATTAGCCATGCTGTGTTTTCTGATGGGATATGCTCCATTCTCTGGCCTGCTGAGGGTGCTGTGTATTCAGCTAATCCATGCTGAATTTTGCCTTTGCAGGTATTTAGCAGGAGGGTAGCAGAAAAAGTTGGTGGACACTTGTCAGAAAGCCTGGGAAAATAAAATCTGGCAAGAGCCGGAGAACATGGAAATGGAGGACAAAAGGAAGCTAAAAGGTTTCTTACGCAGTGGGAATGGGAGAATAACTATTTCTATTTCATTAATTTAATTACCTTAGTAATAGCTTCTTTTTTTTCCATAGGATTTTACTAAAAGAAGATGAATACCACATTTTACATAAGCCTGCTACTGGCTGGTCTTCACACTGTTGCCCATGGTCACCTCCCACCTAACCACCACAATGGACATGATCCAAATGAACCTAAACACCACAAGCATCATGGAAGTGAAGCGATCGCTTGCCTCAAACTAGTGCCAAACAATGCTGACTTTGCATTTCAGTTTTTTAAAGAGGTTACGCTGGACTCGCCTGATAAGAACATTTTCTTCTCTCCTGTAAGCATCTCCACCGCATTTGCAATGTTGGCCCTAGGGGCTAGATCAACCACTCAGACTCAGATTCTGGAAGGACTCGCCTTCAACCTTACAGAGATTCAGAAGAAAGAGATACATGAAGGCTTCCAGAACCTCATACACATGCTGAGCCATCCTGAGAGTGGCGTCCAGCTCAACATGGGGAACGTCATCTTTCTAACAGAGAAGCTGAAACCTCTAAAAGAGTTTTTAGATGATGCCAAAGCTCTGTATCAGCTGGAGGCTTTTACCACTGACTTTAACAATCCCATGGAGGCTGAGAAGCAGATCAATGATTATATAGAGAAGAAAACACATGGGAAAATTACTAATTTGGTCAAGGACATGGATACACAGACTGTAATGCTTCTGGCTAGCTTTGTTTTCTTTAAAGGTAAGTCCTCTAGGATTCACATTGACATCATTCATTCTCATCAACAGATCTAATGTCAGCTATCTCATTTGGAAATTTCAGATACTCTTTCTTGGGCCAGAAGAGCCCCTGATGGCATCCTGGAGGTGGTGGAGAGGTGGTAGGACCCTGCTTGGCATGGGGAGGCAGCTGGGGGACATGCAGGCTTGGTTCTCTTTGTGTCAACCATAGGAGCTCTTCTCCAAGCTGCAGCTTCTCACTTCCGTGGGTTTAGCCATAACTCTGATTGCCCCATGTTCTCCTAATTTTCAGTGAATTATTAAAGTCAATAGAAATGAAATGCATACAGTATAGGAGTACAGAGATGATGTCATGTAAGCCCTTAAATGACAACTTACAGAATGACCACTTAGATCACCTGAACAGAAATGCAGAGGGAGGCACAAAGAAAATGTGTAATTAGTTCCTTACTGGCGTCTGAAAAAATAGAGTGAAATTGGAAGCTAATTCACTCTTTTGACTAGGTAAAAGATTCCTGTATTACTGAGAGGCTAATTTTAAAATTTTCAGTTTGAAAATTCTGAATTTAACAAACAGACAAATAGGTGAGTACTATTACTAGTTATATAAAAATCAGTTTATGTTGGGATCGGATATTCAGTTGCATTTTCCTCTGTATCAGGCAACTGGGAGAAGCCTTTTAAACCAGAGCATACAGAAGAAAGGGAGTTCTTTGTGGATGCTGAAACTACTGTGAAAGTCCCTATGATGCACCAGACGGGCAGATTCGACTTCTATTTTGATGAGGAGCTGTCATGCACCGTGGTACGGCTTCATTATAATGGGAGTGCTACTGCATTTCTGGTTCTGCCAGCAAAAGGGAAAATGAAGCAGTTAGAGCAAACTCTGGTCAAGGAAACCATCCAGGAATGGTCAGACAATCTCTTCCAGAGGTAATCTTCTGCCAGTCAGCTGCAGCAGCACCTAGATTTATAGTCTTTTTTCTTTTTGGGGAATGCAAACACTACGGACTTGCTGATTCTGGGAATTGAGTGGGTTATTTTTGGCTTGTGAGTCCGAGCTGTAAAAATCTTGCAGCTGGTTGGTATTTAACTATTTTCTTGCTAATGCCTGAGTGACTTGCTGCTCCCCTCAGCAGACTGGAGACTACCCTGATGGGCTCCCAGGAGTCCCAAATAGCAAGCCTAGATTGGTGTTTCTAAAAGAGTCCATTGACTGAATGGGAAGGTGGCAATTTTAAAGCAATTCTCCCATACTGAGGTTTCAGCCACTGTGTTTTACCTCTCATATATCTACTAACACACCATGACTTAGACAGATGTTTAAAACTTAAATAAACCATAACTTAGACAGTTTGTAGCAACGTATGCACACATAATACGCATCCTACACAAATATCTTCCAGTGGTTGTCAGAATAGGCCACTGATTAATTGTGGGTGTCCTGATTTTCTGGCATTTTGTTTTTGAAGTTATAAAATTCTAATGAGGTTCTGTTAGCTCCTACCATTGATTAACATCAGCTAACATGTTTTACAGCCTTGTTTGTCTAGGAGGGAAGAGATCTTAGCACCAGTAGATGAGTAATATCAAGTTAATATGTGCCTAAATTGCCCAGCTCTGCCATGATTCACAACTAATAAGGCTGTGCAGTTCACCCCCATGATTCTTGGTGCATCATTATAGAAATGCCAGCACAGTTAATAAAAACATAATGGATAGCAAATTGGATATGAACTAATAACATGACACCTCAAAGGTAAAAAAAATTAAAATATATAACTCTCAGCTGCAAAATCAGGAAAACCCTTACCTAACAATTCTTGGTGCAAGTTCCTTCAAGATCAACATAGGAATTAGCTTGTCATGGGAAAGTCTGTGAGAACCAGAGTGATTTCGGTTCTACTGTTACGTTGATGCTGATGCAAATACACTTGATCCCATCATCTCCTGCGTGCGCTGGGCAGCATCGCAGACAGGCTACAGCAGCGAGGTTTGGAGCCTGTCTGCTTTGGTATTCCACCCAAGCTGTCTCTGGGTGAGACAGCAAAAGACTTGAGGTTACTTCAAGGCTTCATGGATCCCTAGGCAGCACACAAAGAGAAAGCCAAGAGAAAGCACACTAAGAAGGAGCTGCGTACAGACAGCACACAGTTAAAGGCAAACTCGGTCATGTCCAGCACCTGGGAGGAAGACAGAGGACGGGGTGTCCAAAGGGTGTAATCAGCAGGGCACAGTCCTTCCCTGGAGCCAGACTAAAAACACTGCTTTGCTTTGGAATGCTGGGGTTTGCCACACTTCTCCCCAAGCAGATTCTGTCTGGGGTCCACTTCAGGTCTCCCCCTGCTTGATTGGTATGGGCTGTCACCTCTGCACCTCATCATGTCTGGCTGTAAAGAGGTGCTCTCATCACTGTTCTACTTTACAGAGGGCTTCCAGATTTGCTGAAGCAAAACGCCTGATAGACATCACTATTATTATTATTATGAAGAAAAATGACAGTACCTGTATCACCATAAAAATCACCAATGCTTGTATTAGTTCTCGTTGTACACTCGGCCCAGCCTGCTGGGGTTTGACACTCATGGGAATTACACAGCTTTCTCATCATTTACCTTGGTGAAAAACCCTCCTCACCACTTTCTGTGTTTCTCTTCTACGTGACAGCCCTATGAGCCTCTACTTCCCCAAATTTTCTATTTCTGGGAGCTATGAAATAACAAATATCCTTAGCAAGATGGGAGTTGTGGATCTGTTCACCAACCAGGCAGATCTCTCTGGCATCACCGGCACCCCAGAGCTGAAGGTTTCTAAGGTAAGTCCATGCCTGTTTGTCTCCCTTCTTTCACAAGCATGCACCAAAACTCCTCTGTGGTAGCACACAGAAACACCAGCTAAATGCAGCTCCCAGCTTGCTGGCATTTGGGCTCACCCTGGGCTCAGCCTGCAAGCTTATAAGAGGAGTTTGACCCTCGGTGACAGTGGAGATCAGATTAGTTTGCTGGACATCTGTCTTTTCCAAGACTGGTATCAGATAAGATTTCTTGGGAGATATCTGGAACATGAAATAAACATCAGCCCCCAGCTCCTCAAGGGGAACCACTAATGCTCCTGGGCACACAGGAGCCACAGCCTGTGCTCCCATCCTAGAGACTCAGTTCTGGAGGTGCAGACTAACTCTTAGAAGTGGAGCCACCATTCTTCATCCAGCCTTTGGGATAGAGGAAAAATAATCTGGTAGTCTAGGTCTTTTTTTATTTTGTTTTTTTTTTTTTTTTTTTTTTTTTAGATTTCTGTAGCTCTGTCCTGTCCTCATTGAAAGTACCATGACCACAACACCACAGCTCACATCTCTCCTGCCTCTACTGACTTCTCAGTGGATCCTCCAAAGGAGGGCTGCTTTAAAAGGGGTCTGTCTCATCTCAGGTGGCTGTTGTCTGCTCAGAATGACTGGGTATTTTTTTTTCTTCCTAGGCTGTTCATAAGGCTGCTCTGGATGTTGATGAGAGTGGTACTGAGGCAGCAGCAGCAACTGCTGCTGAAATAATGACAATGGCTCTGCCTCCAACCATTGAATTCAACCACCCCTTCCTCATGATGATTTTCGACAGAGATACAAACAGTACGCTCTTCATAGGAAAAATAGTTAACCCGACTATCACTAGCTGAAGTGACATATGAATTCTGCTTACTATTACTGATTAAAGAAGATGTGAAACTGCATGATGTGATTTATTTCCATTTATACCAGCTTAATATATGGTTCTTTCTTAGCATGAGTTTTCATTCCATGCCACTATCAAAAAGTATTGGTATTGACCATAACACTTGCTTAAAAGGAAGCAAGGAAAATGTTTTTAATTCAGCTAGCAAAGAATGTTTCTTTCATTTGACAGAAAGCCAAGGAAAGACCTAAGATTTGCCATCATTCTGGGAGAGAGATTTGTATTACAATGGAAGAGTCCTGTTTAATATGTGGCTGTCAGCCAGAATAGTAGATAAAATATTATTAACACTCCTGCAAACACAGAAGAATTGGTTGTAATTTACCATAAATAAGTAAACAAGAGATAGGAAGTTGGATGTAGAGTGCAGGGTCAGGGGAAACTGAAGATTCTAACAGAGACAGCACTGGGAATGTGAAAATCTGTCTTCAACAGAGAAAGAAACCTGCTTTCTCTACCAGAAACCTCTTATCATTTTTAGTATTAATCTAGTCGCAAATCTTCCTGAGTTTCTTGCAGCTCAAAACAGAACAAGAGGATCAAATCTGCCCTTGAACCTGAAGACTTTCAACCATATATTTCCAATCTGACAGACTTTGATATTTTGTGTGAGTAGCTGACTTCTCACACGTTTATCCATCAGTGGTCAGAAGGAGGATGTAGCTGGGTGGGCAGGTGAGGTATCCAAATGCAATAACGTAAGCATACGGTCAGCTGCCATTTGTGGAAAACAGAATTGTGGATATTTCAAGTGCTGTCATTTTACAGCTTTAAAAGTAGGTAGGGAGCACCCAATAAGGAAATCACCTGACTCAGGGGGTGGTGGCAGGCACAGAGGTATGACAGCCAGCCACTTGAGTGCTGGCTGGTAACCGCTTTCAACAGACCTGCCTCGGTAACAGGCAGGAGAAAGAGCAGAGTTGCCCTTTTCTTGCCTACAGCTGTGTTTTTTGAAAGGAATTGAAATGGTGCCACGGCACCAGAAATCATGCTGGGAGCAGCCAAATGGCCTGGGAAGGTACCACAGCCTCAGCGTGGTCTTGTGTGACCTCAGAAATGAAGAGCAAGTGTGATTTTATCAGCCTCGTGAAAAGCAGTGACTCCCCTTTCACAGTCAAAGGGAAAGTTCTGTGTTCCTATTAAACAGCTCCTGTTAACTCTCATGCATGGCGCTCGACAGTGGTTTTTTTTACTAAACAGACACAATCTCTGTATAAAGAGGAGCATGAGAAGCTCATAGGCGTCGATGGCAGGACTCTCAGGGAAAAGAAAGAGATGCGTGTGCGTTACATCATCTTCCTGGCTGCTCCCTGCCCTCACCTCCACCTGTTTGGGTGGCTTTGTCCAAAGGCCCCCTCTCTGACTGTGCAGGTTTCTTGTCTTCCTGAGGTACAACTGCCCCGCACAGGATTGATGGGGTCAGTCTTAGTGCCACCACTCCTGCTGGCAGCTCCTCCGAAAGAGAGGGCATTCGGCAAAGCAGCACTGAAATCTTTAGGGGTAAGAGAGCTCAAAGAGGTGAGACCCTTAAATACGTATTGAACTCCCTAGAGTTGCATCAATTTGCACTAATTGAAAAACTGACATAATTTTAGTAGAGTGATCCTCAGTTTACATCAAGAAATGTGGAAGAAACAAAGGTCCCAGATGCAGCTGAAAGGCTAAATTATGCTAACGCACTTGTAAACCATTTTGGATGGAGACATATAACTAGAAATACAGCATACTGGGAGGAGGGTTGTCCCTCTGTGGTTCTGGCAGAGATTTGAAGATTAAAAGAATCCTGCACGTCAGCTAAATCAGCTTTTGTGGGCTGTTAATCCATATTTTGGAAAGGAGACTCTGTTCTTTGCTACCCTCAGCACCTTGCTGTTCTCAGAGACACGTGCCCCTTTAGAAGCAAGATGTGGGAATTCTGTTTTCCTCCCGTATTACAGGGAAACGAGCCCACAGGGCTGTAGGAGGGAGGTGGAGAGGCAGAGATGCTCCCACACAGAACTGGCACCCTGCAGCTTGTGCTTCCCCTCTCATTGCACCTCCTATATGATCTCCCTGTGTTTGTAAAATCTGTTGCAGAGGTTGCAGGGGCAGTGGGTGTTGTGGTACCCGTGTGCCAGCGACAGGAAGACAGAGCAGTGGTGACAAGGAGTGTCTGCCATAACCCCGGGGGATTTCCTGCCAGTGTCAAGATCGGTGTCTAGGAGCCATCTGCCAGACTTGCTTCAACCAGGCAACAGCTCCTGCTGTACTGACATGATGCTGTGATTTTCCACTGCAAGATTTGCCAGAGATAGTGTTGAAGAAGAGGCAGGCACCACACTTAGCACAAAAGAGCAGCAGACAGCTTGCTCCCTGCCCACGTCTGTGCTGTGCTGTTTGCTAGGTGGCCTGTTCCCATCTCTCCTCACCATTCACCAAGTCCCACTCTCCTAATCCTGCTCGTGTCGCCGCGAGCAACACCAAAGAGATTTTCCCTATTGCGCTCGCTCTTTGTGTTTCCTCTCCGCAGCAGATCTTTTTCACGGCCTCCCACCCTCTCCCCTGCAGACCACGTTCTCTCCCTCCCACCCGCCCGTGCTGCCGGTTCAGGCGGGAGGTGGAGGCTGCTGGCTCGGCTCTAGCGCCTGCTCCACCAGCAGACCCCGTCCTCCTCCTTCCCAAGAGATGGGGAGGCAGCGGGGCTCCTTGCCTCCCACAGAGCGTCAGGAGGGTGCTCACGGTGGGGTCGGGAAGGCTGGGCAGGCAGGCAGGGCTCCAGGACACCGAGCTACGCCCAGGCCGGGCAACAGACAATATGTGGATACAAACAAGCCAGAGGCACATCTCTGGAGCAATTAATGACCAGGTTCATTAGCCGTTGACACAACTGACACAACTAATGAGTGTGGGGACAGGACTTATGGCTGTGCATGTGGTGATCCCAGGTTTGGCTGATCCGATTGTCTCCCGGCTAGGCAGAAATCCCCATTTCATTGATCGCACCAGGGCCACGCCACTGGCCCAACAGCCTCCGACTGCTCCAAGCACCACGTCCCACAGCTGCAACAGCCCCCCAGCTCACACACCAGTTCTGGAAGGAGGTATTTGGGGTACGTTTTACTCTTTTCTCACCACCATTCAAGGCTGTACCTGGCGGACAAGAACAAAAAACCCCTCATTTCCCACCCCATATCCTTCAGACCTGCTGCAAAGAGGAGTCAATGGAGAAACTCCCCATTTACACTTTAGGCAGGCGTAATCTGATAGCTTTTGTTCAGCATGAAGACAGACCTGGGTCAGCATAACCCTTAGCCTTACAAATACAGCAGTGTTGTCCCTTTCAACACAGCTACCTGTTTTGTGTTAAACTAACAGCACAGGCCTTGGGGCTCTGCACTTCTCAGGCTTTGCTTGGACTTGTCCAGGCCCGCCTAGGGCTTTGTTTTAGCCTCTTTGTAACAGTAATTATCCAGCAATCATGTGCTATTACTTAATTTATTTAAAGTTTTCCATAGCTACATACAATTGCATGGTATAACATTTACACATTGTTACACATATAGATTTTCTGTAACCATGAGATATTAAGAACAAGCAGTTATTCCACACAGAGTGAAGTGTCTGTGGCCCTAGAATGTAAAATGAAAGTGTATGCACATTGTGGGATGATCTGCTGCTGACCACTTGCCCAGTATAGAAAGATATTATCATTAACAGGTATACCAGCAGCCAAATTCCTCCCTCCACTACCACATCATACACCAGAGGCCCAAAGTGACAGAAAACCAGAAGGAGGACCAAGTCAATGCACACACTCACAGCATATTGTATGAAGAAAGGAGTGAGCTGACTCAGGAACCATGCCATGGGACATGGAATCAGCCAGACAAAAATTCAATTTTGTAGTAGTTTCCCAGAGCGAACCATGATGCTACCCCACCACCCTGGGAACTCCACTTGCTCCAGAGAGCCCCTTCAATAACAAGAACTCACAAACAAACCTCCCAACCTCACCCCAAGCAGTCAGCTCTTATAGATGTGGCTTCTTGCCCCACCTCCAAATTAATGTGGAAGGTGGGGGCACCTGGTTGTGATCTCCTAATCAGTTCCCACCCAAGGCTGGCCAGACCCTGGGTGAAGCCAATCAGGAGGGTCTTTGTTATGTGGTTGTGGACATCAACCCTATGCCAACCCTTGTTCAGAGCTGGGAGTTTAAACCCCAACACTTCAGATAATAGCAGGGGACTTGAGAGTACAGGCACAGGATGATACTAGTGGCCTCAGGACTATAAATATCTCACCAGTGTTCAGTTACTGGTCACCAAAGGATAACAGCCTTGGGAGTGCTGCAAGACCAGTTTAGGGGATAAGCAGGAGAACAGAGATTGAGTACCCAGTGTACCTAAAACACAGCACAGGTAGTAAACTCACATGTAATATGGACCTGTGAACCAATGAAGGAAGAGCAAGGAGTATAGCATGCAAGCAAATGGATAAAAATGACCCCAGGCAGACCACGGAGGTCGCACCCAGCACCCTCATACACCTCCCAGCAAGGATGCAGGATGCAGCCATCCTGCCACTTCCTTCCCTTAGGGCTGAAGCCATAGACCTGAGGAACCAGTGGAGCAGAGAAAGGGTGAGCTTAACACCAGAGAACGGGGACAATACTAAAACTTCGGGGTGTGTAAATTCTAACTATACATAATCTGAACTATAAGTCTTAGTATTGTAAAGAGGCTAACAATTCTTGGGTGTTAATATTTTAAATACACTTCTGATAAGTTCTCATCTTTGCACACAAAGCATGTTTTTTTTCCACAGAGAAGCAGAGAACATGGTGCATGCAAGCACCCCAGCTGTGGGAGGATGATCTCAGAGGTTACCAAGAGAGGAAGGGAAGCAGAAGCCCATGAAACATGCAAGAGACTCACATGTGACCATACGCTGGGTCCAGAAAGGAAATGGTAAAGCTACCTTGGATGCCAGCTTTTGTGATATTTTGAGCAGGA